ACCTCAGCTTCACTACTACTTCCTTCCAGAATATGCCCCCACTATATTCCTTCCAGAATTCCTCCAAGAGTGTTGTCTGGCAGCAAAACTCACACTTGCCAATGCATATTCTCCCAGATGCCAACATTCTCCTTTAGAAAATGGGGTCATATTTACGCATCTTTATTCTACAGGCTCTCCCCAACCCCATTGGCTCCAATGTCCCCATACCACTAAACAGCAGTTTACCCTAGGAGTCCTTGTAGTTACAGGCCATGTCTTATTCTTCATCTACCCTGGACCCCATAAAATATTTTAAAACAAACTGTCATTGGATTAATTCCAACTCGGACAGCCCTACAGAGCCCAGTGGAAAGGATGTGCGGCTGTGCAGGGATGTGGATACCGAACACCTTACAGGGGCAGACTGCCTCATCTCTGTCCCTGGAGCAACTGGTGGGTTCATCCACAGACCTCTCAGCTAGAAAAGCCTGATGTTTAACCCATGGTGCCAGTAGGGCTCCTTCAAACCTAAGCCCAAACCAAGCACACTGATGCTGAGTTAATTCTAACACATAGCAACCGTGTAGAGCAGAGCACAACTACTCCATGGGACCTGGGAGTCTTTGAATCCTTAAGGGCGCAGACTGACACATCGTTCTCCTGCAGAGCGGCTGGTGGGTGAGCAGTCCAACGCTTAACGCACTGTGAGACCAGGTTTCCTGCCTTGACCCCCATGCTGCCTGTTGGCTCAGTGCATGGACAGATGGGTATATATGTGTCACAGTGGAGTAAGCATACCTGTCAATCTTTCAGTGCCCAGCCTTGGGGACATGCACATGCCACTTCATCAGATAAGCTCCTCAATCTATGGAGAATGAATGGGCACAGGGTCTCCAAGGCCCTTCCACAGATCATTGCAAGTCCCTGCTGGTGATGAAGAAGGCTGAGACCGTCACATTCAGATATGCATCCATTGTCCACATACCAAGTGCCCACCACGGGCAGGGCTCAAAGTCAAATGTTCAATGGAAAGTCAACCCTTTGGAAGTCTGGTACCACGTGTGAGCTACACATGGCTGAAAACTGACTTTTTGGAAATCTTAAGTGCATCCTAAGTGCGCAATGCAGACTGTCTGAGGGGTGGGCTACGACATCAGAACTCAGATGCTGCGTCTTTTTGAGCTGTAGCGTCCAGAACAAGTTCTTGGACTTTTCTGAAGCTCAACTTCCACATTTCAAACGTGGGTTCAGAACAAAACCAAACCTACTGTGTTTTTCGGTATATTTACAACAATGACACCTCCCCAATGCGGAGTAGCACCGTGGTGGCACTAGCAATAATGGTGAGGATGGCAGACGACCAGGCAGTGTTTCGCTCTGCTGTGCACAGGGTCACTATGAGTCACAACCACAACAACACAAAAATGACCTTCATAAATCACTTAGCACTGTGTCCAGCAGACAGTGGTCACGGGGGAAACTAGCGGCTTCCTTACTGACCGGCATGTAGAATGGCTGGAAATGACAGCATCGAACCGTTTTACTGTTCAAGGGCCAAGGTTATGCACTTAAGCACACTGAGACATTTTGCTGAGCCCTGGAAATGTTCAAAGTAATGCGCTAACGTGCTGGAAAGAAACCAAAGACAGATTTACAAAGTATGCAAGTGTCTCTATGAATTAGAATCGATTGGTGATGGCTGTTTTTTGGGTTGCCTTTGTTGTTGTTGTTGAGTGCTGTCGAGTCGGTCTGAGTGACAGAGACCCTGTGGGGTTGCTGAGGAGCAAGTGGTGGATTTGAACCGCTGACCTTGTGGTTCAAACCGACTTTGCAGTCCAGTGTTAATCCTACTGGGCCATACCAGGACTTGTCAGGTGCCGTCCAGTTGGTTCCATCGCATAGTCAGTGACCCCAGGGACAACAGAAGGAAACACTGGCCAGTGGGCCCTGCACCGTCCTCACAGTTGCTGTTCTGTTTGAGCCCACAGTCGCAAACACTGTCATTCTATCTAATTGAGTGTGTTTTTCTTTCGCTGGGCCTCCAGCATGGTGTGCTGAGCATGGTGTGCTTCCGAAGGTCTCTCCTGATAATGTAACAACGTACAATGTTGCCTTTCGAGGAGTATCACATTTAAGAGACAACAAATACACATCTTAGAATGTTGCGCCCTAATAGATCTCCCACCTAATGCCTGCCTGTTGAGTTCTAGTGTGGCACTGTGGGTTAACATGCTGGACTGAAAAGTCGGTTTGAACTCCTAGGTCAGTGGTTCAAGCCTACCAGCTGCTCCTAGGAAACCCTATACAGAGTAGCCGTAAGTCGGAACCAACTTCACAGCACTTAAAAACAACAACAAAGCCTGCCTATAGTCTTTGGTTAAGTAAGCCCTTGGCTGTTCACTCAAAGGATTGTTGGTTCAAATCCACCCAGAGGCACCTTGAAAGAAAGACCTGGTGACCTATTTCCAAAACACCAGCCATGAAAATTCCATAATGTACCTGGTCACGGAGTGGACTAGAGGACATCTGCTTGGTTGGGGGATTACATCTTAGAACACATTCCCAGCAAGCAGCACCTTTGCTGGTCAAATATTTTGTTTTACAGCATTATTTCTAGGCTCCAAAAGAGGCTAAGTCCAAACAATGAAATTTTGTTTAGATTTGTTGTTTAAAGGATGAATCCGGGAGTGGGTTTGCTCTATGTTTCATCCTTCTCGGTTATGAAACTCAAACACGTGTCAGGTTCATGGACACTGTCCTGGTTGGTATTAAATGCTCACTGTGGTTCATGCAAGGATTGATATCTAGCAGCACAAAGACAGCACAAGTGATGAGGTACTGAAGCTGACAGTGACTCCTTGGTGATAATCTCCACTTTATCTTTGTTGTTGCTGTTAAGGGCCATCAAGTCGGTTCCGACTCAGAGCAACCCTGTCTATGTAGGGTTTCCGAGGAGCGGCTGGTGAGTTTGAACCACCGACCTTGCAGTTCAAACTGACCTGGTAGTCAAGTGCTTAGGTACTTGGAATTGTGTGTGCTCCAGTGTACACTATCCAATTCAAATCCTTTAAATATACAAGGGACCTTTAAAATGTTTGTGGAAAATCTTCATTGTCTTTTAATTTCATTTTTTTCCAGGAGAATTTTGAAGGCCTCTCGAGGCCCATCCTTGGTTGCAGCTGGTTTACAACGCCCTGGCAGTGGGAGTACTTAAGCGGAAAAGTGATGTGAACAATAAGGACTACAAACTGAGCCGCCCCTGAATGTATCAATCCTATCTGCACCATGAAATCCTGTTACATACAATTCGATGGCATTACGGGTGTGAAATGTTTTCTTGTTCTTGGCTATATTGTGAGTAACTGTTGAATTACCTAGCATGTGCTCAGCTGTACGGCATCTCCCCCCCCAAAAACAGGCTCACTTCGGAGCTGTTTGGTTGGATTCTTTCAATTCAACACATAAAAAAAGTCACATGTTGGGTTTGTGGTATGCATTCACGGACTGCTATTTGTCCACCTTCAAAACAAGGAGGCAAAGAGACTTGTACATCACAGAGAGCCCAAAGTAAGGGCATTTCCAACCGTTTCCAGCTGAAAAAGGTTCAAACACATGGGGGGGAAATAGAGTCTCCTTCAACACAGCTCAGCCCAATAAAGCAATCAACAGCAGAACTCGAAACATCACTGAGAAAACACAATCTTTAGGTCATATTTACAAACCTTGATATTGCAGCATAAAAATCAGAGAAGCCTTTTGTATTATAAAATCAAGTGGGGCCAATAAAGGCATGCCTACTAGAAATCTCCAAGTTGTCTGAGCACTGTTATGGAGTTGTCTTTTAACCTCAGGTTTGGCTGGGTTGGAGGCACTGTCTTTGCTGAGTTCATGGTAAATCCCCCACACGCTAAAGGGCCTTGCAACTGTTCCAACTCATAATGAAGGAGCCATGAGCCCAAGACGGCTCCAAGGGGCAGAGTAATGACAGGACAAAGCCCCAGTGAGGGAGCTGGCCCCACCTGGCATCACATCCAAAACCCTGTGAGGGGGTGATTGTAGGGTAAGTGGGAGAAGGGAAACTGTGTGCCTCGAAAAGCCTTCCTGCATGCCAATCACTCGAGTTTCCAAGAGAATGCTCATCTTGTAAGAAAAACCTGTGTCTGAAGACTTGTCACCCAGTACCCATCTGAGACTTGCAGGAATCTCCAGCTTCCCTCAGGATACTCTGTGGGCAAGGGGGTCCTGCGCATACAAATAAAGAGTCCCCAAACTCCTGGTACCTTCACATCTCCTGTGCCAATCAAATGACTCCCCCATCTAGAAACTGCAACCCTAAGTAAGTAATCGTCCAGACTTGCACTTTCAGTGAAAGACTGAGGTGCTGACAGAGGGAAGGGAGGAGCAGGTTCAGGGCAGTCTCCTGCTGGGATTAGCTCCCTTACAATTTAAGGCTTCAACTGGAATTCAACCTGTTGGTCTGCTGTCTCTCACCAGCAACTCCCGAATGGGGAGCGGGTGGAGCTGGGCTTCCCAGCCCTGAGCGTTCTTCAGACCTAATCCCCAGTCCACGCGCTCTGACACACGCTCACGGGCGACCCCACACAGCAAGGTCTAGGATCACTGTCTGGCAAGTCAGTGGCAGTAAACAGGCAAGTCCAAAATCCAGGAACCTTACACACTGCTCCCCTGAAATGTAGTTCAGCTCTCCCCTGGCCATCTCTGCTTTCCGAGGTGAGACCGAGGTCTCCACATCCCCATTCCTGCATCCCAAGGGCCTTTCTGAGAGACAGGGTCCCGCGCGTCCTGTCGCTGTGCAGTCTCACCAAGGGTCTGCACGCAAGTCCTCCAGGGAAGACACCTGCCGCAAAGGGCCGCGCACGTGCACCCGCGCGCGCGTACACACCACACTCATACACACATACACACACTCCAGCTCGCCCGCCCCCGTCCATCCCCACACACATTCTCAGAGCGAAGTTAGTCGCGAGGGCCAGGAGGTGGTGGCCGCGTCCCCTCACCTTTGGAGAAGAGGGCAGCCAGGCTGATGAGCACTGGAGACCAGTGGTACCACAGCGTCCCCATCTCCGACGGGCACTTCCTGGAGATCCAAGCGCAGGTCCTCTGGTCCCTGGAGTCGTCTGGGCGCGGAAGTGGCTGTCACCAAGCTGCTGGAGGACCGGAACGGAACGCGGGGCTGGATGGCGAGGACCGCCGGCTAGGGGTCCACGCAGCCCCAGCGCCCTGTGCCTAGCTCCTGCTTGCCCATGGCCCGGCCAGAGGCGCCGGCCGCGCGCCGGCTCAGGAGTTGCTCTCCCGAGTCAGAGGCGCGCGCAGGAAACCCCACCTCCCTCCTTCGCCCCACCGGGATTCTTCCCAATTCTTAATCCGCGAGGGGTTTTTGGATGGCCTGTTTACCCAAACCCGCAGTGGTCCCCGGTGGCTGGAAGAGCGCTCAGGGTACAGGGCCGCCGGCTAGCAGGCGAAGGCGGGCGGGCGGCGAGGTTGCGGCGCCGCCGGCCGGGTGACCAGGCGCGTGCGACGGCCCGGGGCGCCCTGGCGTGGAGCCCCCATCCCGGGCCGGCCGTGTGCCCCGGGGCCACTCGGGCGCCCGAAGTTTGGCAGGTGCGGCTATCCTCCGCTCGGCGCGCCCAGCCCGGGGGCTCACGGCCGGCTGCAGGGACGCGGGGCTCTGGGCGCGCAGGGAGGCGGGCCAGATGTGCTCGGAGGAGGCCCTTGAGCTGGGGCTGCCCCTCGCCTGAGATGCTGCCTGCCAACTGCCTGGGCGCCTCTCCGCAGGGACTGCGGTCAACGCCGGCGGTTGTCACTGCACCCTGTTTGGGTCTGGGGTTTCGCCTTAAAAATTCATTCTTTTTTAATTTTTTTTTAAAGCCCCACCCTTTCGGAGTGACAGCTGTGAGCCCCAATCCGCAAAGTGCTTCCCACCTCCCAGGTCTGCCCCCATCCACCCTCCCAGTCACCCTGCTGGTCGCGTGCAGAGGGGAGGAGGCTGTGGGAGGCGCGTGGGCATCTGGCCGGCCGGCGGAGCCTCGAGCGAGGGGTCCACTCTCCCAACAGGTGTGCAGGCTGTAATCTGCCTCCAGCCAGCGATGCGCTTCACCGGTCAAGGAACAGGAGGCTTGGGGAGGGGCCTCCCCCTACCTGCAACCCGCCTCCCCCTAGTGGCCCCTGAGAGGGGTGTCTCTGGTAGATCCTGACCCCGGAGTGGGGGTGCTAGCCCCAAATCCATACCTAGAGTGACTGCCAAGTCAGTGATCAGAGGGATTCCGTCTCACTTCCGCCACCCCCCTCAGACCATGTGGACCAGGGGTGACCAAGTGAAGGGCCATCCTGAATCCCTAATGAAGATGCCCCAAACCAGGAACGCTGAGCACTGGGCTATCTGTGGTGTGGCCCCCGAACTGTCTGCTTTATGCGACCATGTGACCACACTCAAGAGAATTGAATCCCGATAGACAAGTAGACAGACAGAAACAGACACCCCACTGCCTCCGAGGGGACTTAGTCCCCCGGTGACACCGTGTGTTAAAGAGCAGAGGAACTCCATCATAGAGTTTCTGGGTTGTAATCTGTGTGTATGTGAATTGGGGAAAAGTTTGCAGATCAAATGGGCTTTCTCATACACTAGGGTTGGTGATAGGGACTGCGGTGCCCACAGAGTATCAGCAGTCTTCCCACTTCCTCCCTGGGTTTCCTGGTCCCCTTTCTCCTCCTTTCCAGATTGTTTTCTTACAGGATCATAGGACCTTTGTCAGAGGCTCCAATGGACAAGTTTGAAGCAGCAACCTTCAGGTTAGTAGGAGTCAAGCACAAACTATGGTATCCAGGAGATCTGACAGATCTATCTAGATGTGTGTTGTTGTTGTTGTTGTTAACTGCCATCCCGTTGGTTCCGACTCATAGCGACCCTGTATAGGGTTTCCGAGAGGCGGCTATTGGGTTTAAACCGTGGACCTTGTGAATTCAAATGACCTTGAGGTCAAGTGCTAATCCTAGTGTTATTGCATGTAGTCCAGAGACCCTGTTGTTGAAAATGGTCTTCAAGGTGATTCCTACTCATGATGACCCCTATGTAACTAAGTAGGATTGCTCCGGAGGGTTTTCTGGGCTGTGATCTTGTTGTTGTTGTTGTTATGTGCCATGGAGTCGGAACCGACTCATAGCGACCCTGTACAGGGTTTCCGAGGGTGTAAATCTTTACGGGAGTAGAAAGCCTCATCTTTCTCCCGCGGAGCAGCTGGTAGTTTCGAACTGCTGACCTTGCGGTTCACAGCCCGAGTCGTACAAATGTCCAAGTCTTTTCTCCTTCAGTACAGCTGGGTGGGTTCAAACCAACGACTTTTTGGTTAGCCATCAAACGCATGCCACTTGCGCCACCTAGGGACGTGTACATAGAAGTTGCTGTTGTTCAGTACCACAGAGTTGGTTCCCACTCACAGCAACCCTGTATAGGGTTTCCAAAGAGCAGATGGTGGATCTGAACTGCCAACCTTGCATTTCCATCCGACCTTGCAGTCCAGTGCTTATCCTAGAGCGCCACACCAGGACTCCTTTATATATACACGAGGGAGCATAAAAAAGGTTGTGGGGAAATAGGATTAGAAGATAGTGGTTTTCCCTAAATCTTTGTGAAGCCTCCTCTTGTATGTATTTATTCATATATGTAAACCTAACAGCAGTCACATGAAATGACAGGGCTTTGCCTCAGGAAGTAAGAAGGGGTCTTTACCATCTGAAGGATGAAGGAGCAGGAGAGGGTTCTGTCTCCATGCAAAAGCACTCAGTCAAGTCCAGAGTCCTCAGTGGTCACGTTTCCAGGAAGATCAGACTCTGGGCCTTCCTCGCTTTGAGAGCTGTGCGTCTTTTCTGAGCACCTGTCTTAATAGTTTTCTTTAGTGTGTTTCTGAAGCTTACTGCCTTTTTTCACCGTGCCTCTCCTCTGCAGCTTTCCAAGGCCTCCGGGCTGGGGGGTACCTGAAACCATGACTCCTTCAGAGGGAGGGGCAGGCACACCAGGAGGCTGGCACCTGAGGTCTGCACTGGAACTAGCTTCTCCAGCAAGCTCCCCAGGGATGCTGATGCTGAGTGTCCTGGGACCATGGACATGGGAAACTGAGCTTTACTCAAAGGCCACCTGGCCTCTGAGTGGCAGAAGCCACTCCATCATCCAAAGCTGATCCCCTTTCTTGAAGGCCAGTCCTGGTGGTGCACTGGTAAAAGTGCTTGACCTCAAATAGAAAGATGGGTGGTTTGAAACTGAAGCCGTTGACTTCGGTAAAGCTCTGCAGTCTTGGAAACCCTATGGGACTCTTCTAGTCTGTCTTATACGGTTGCTGTGAGTCAAAACCAACTTGATGGCACTGGCCTTGCTTTGGTGTTGGCGTTTTCTCCTGTTAGGGCTCTGGGTGGCACCGACTGATTTCCCAATGAGATGACAGCCAAGAAAACGCCAGGGAGCAGCTCTCCTCTGTCACACGGGGTGTTGCCATGATTGGAGTTGACTTGAGGCATCGAGTTTGGTTTCTTCCTTTACTCATTATCCATGCCAACTTACTTGTGAAAGAAGCTGTTTTCCGATCATTTCTCAAATGTATTGCCTAGAAGTGAGTGACCCTTGTTCTGTATTTAAGGACTCTTGGTGGCACAGTGGTGACGCGATCGGCTGGGAACTGGAAAGTCAGTGGTTTGAAGCCACCAAGTGCTCTGAAGATGATCGATGGAGCAGTCTGCAGAGACTCTTGTTGTTAGGTACCGTTGAGGTGGTTGTGACGCACAACGACCCTACGCACAACGACCCTACGCACAACCGAACGAAGCTCTGCCCACGCCGGTGCCATTCTCCCAAGCGTTGTTTGCTCGACTCCCTTGTTTCTGCCACTTTGTCAGTCAGCCCATCCCAGTGGGCTCTTCCTCTTTTTCACTGACCCTACACTTTACCAAATGTGATATCCTTCTCCAGGGACTGGTCCCTCCTGACGACATGTCCAAAGCAGAAAGATGAAATCTCACCGTCATGATTTCTAAGGAGCATTTAGGCTGCACTTCTTCCAGATCAGCTTTACGTGTTCTTGTGCAAGTCCACAGTGCTTCCAGTCCAACAACAGCACAGTTCAAATGCATCAGCTCTTCTCCGATGTCCCTTAGTCACTGTCCAGCATAGAAGGTGACTGAAGATACTCAGGCACATTTTAGTCTTCAAAACGGCATGTTTGCTCTTTACCACTTAAAAATAAAACACTTTTTAACAGGTCTTTTACAGAACACTTCCCTAATGCAATATGGCTTTTGATTGCTTGACTGGTACTTCCATGAGTGAATGCTGATTGTGGATCCAAGCAAAATGAGATCTGTGATGACTTCAATCTTTTCTCCATTTATCTTGATGTTACTTATTGGTCCAGTGGTGAGGAGATTCATTTTTGTTACCTTGCAGTAAAATCCATATAGATTACAACCTTGGAAATCAGATTGTGAGAGCCTTCCTCTACTCTATCCTACATGGACAGTATGAGCAGAATGGACTCTATGATGCACAAGATTTGGGTTTGACTTCTAGCTGAAAAGTTAGGTGGAGGTTCAAACCCACTCAGAAGTGTCTGTGATAGAAACAGCTGGTGATCAGTTTCAAATGGTCAGTCTTAAAGGAACTAAGGAACCCAATCATGCTCCCACATGAGTCATAAGTAACTCACAGCAACTTTTACATTTCGTCTTCATTTAAAACCCCCATTTTACTTATTTCTAAATCAAACTGGGGGCCCTGCCGTGGTGCTATAGGCTAACCATAAGACCGGTGTTTCAAACCCACCCGCTGCTCCTTGGAAACCCTATTTCAGAAGCCCTGTACAGGGTCACTATGAGTCGGAACCAACTCCATGGCACATCACCACCACCACCACCACCACGAGTCAGTGTGAGTTTTGTTTTGTTTTGTTCCCCTCATCTGCCACCATTCGATGACATTTATTGTCTTTCTTTTTGTGCATCAATGCAGGAAGGAGTTTTTTACCTGGCTCCGTGGGATGAAGGTGAAACTGCAGCTGCTTGCCTGTGCTGTGAAGCGTCTCTCCATTACCCATGGCTTGCTAGACCAAGCTTTTTCCACCTCTCAGTGTGCAACATTTTTTTGGGGAACTGCAACTACCAGATACCTCATCGGTGACTAAAACAAGACGTTAGAATGACTTCCCCCTCTCTCTCCAGTATGCTGTTCTGGCTAACACGTCTAATCTTCTTTGGGTAATTAGC